AATCATTGCAGTTAATTCTTTAGTATTTACCATTTTTTTTAGATTTTCAGAGAAGAAAAATTTATTAAAAAAAAAAATAAATTGTTATTCTTTTTATTTTTATAATATAAATAAACACTTAAGTGTTATGTAAACGCAATTTATTATTGCGATCATATAACTTTACTAGCATTAATTCACATTATGGTGGATGTGCAGATATTTTTGTCCACCCTCTGTATTTGATATCATCACTAACTTCAGTAGGTATGAAATGTATAGATTGCTTGTCAGATAGGCTTTGTTGAAGTATAGCAGTCATCCCATTTTCATATTCTGCTATAATCTCATTATGTGATAGAATATAGGCTAAAGGCTCAGCGCCATCATAGTGAGCAAGAGTTCTGCAATCAGTTTATTCAAAAATAGTTGAGGTATACATGTTGACAGTAGGTAAAGTTATTATTTCACAATATATTTCAGAAATATTTAATTATTTTTTTTTCAATAGATGTAATAAAGAAGTGGTAGCAAACTTAATCAACAAATCGTAAATGAAAGAAAAGTAGATATGCATCAAAATATGGAACCTTCTTCGTAATTATTATAAAAATTTTTGAAGAAAGCTCCATCTTTCTAGATATGTATACAGGTATGGTATAAATAGGCTAACCATGATAATACAAATTGCATTACCAATACTCTAACCAACTGACTATAAATATATCACCAATTCTAGGACGTGAAATCGTCATATATATATTAGCAACAAATAGGCATCAGCTTCGATCTTTCAAATTATATACCTCAAAACCACTTTATCCCAGTAATCAAATGAGTCAGACATGATCCTTTGAAAGTTATGCAAATTGAACTTTTTTACATGTAATACTCATATGAATATTATCATGCCCGATATTTACTCTATATTCGATTAAGATGAAATATGATAAAAACACTTATGGAATATGAATATACTTTATAAGATGAATAAGATAAATATTATACTTACTCATTTTGTAATAATAGTCTAATAACATCTCGTAAAATTATGTATTGAATCACGTGATAAAAATCTGTTAACATTGTTAACAGGTTTTCTGAAAATTTGAACTTCAGGATGTGAAAATGGCATACTTATACTCAGGGTTGGGAAATTTGTATATACTAAACAAATTTTGACTTTATACTTGTACTGTACTGTACTAAATTTTATATTAATTATTATATGTACTAATTGTACTAAACTGTACTAAGCTGTACTAACTGTACTAATTTCCCAACCCTGCTTATACTGGTGTAATAGTTGGGTCACCTTTTTTTACATGATTTCAGCATCTAGAAAGGTAACCAAATAGGCGTAAAGGGAAAGCACTCTAAAATAAAATCTAGCATCCAATTAGGCGCAGAAGACCAGCATTCTCAACATAAAATCAGATATCTAAATAGCTACAGAAAGCCAGTATCAACAATATAGAATTTATCATCTAAACAAATTAGAAACAAGAAGAAAGCAGACACCATTAGATTATAATATTACCATTAATTAAAGCATTCCTAGCCACTATTAGACTATAAAATCACTACGATAATATATAGGAAATAATTGAAACAATGTTATAAATGCAAAGAAGTTACCCATAAGTAAATTATGAAATTACTATCAGATTATGAATAGTAGATTATGAAATTACCACCAGATTATGTAATTAGATTATGAAGTTATCAGCAGACTATGAAGTTACCATTATATTATGAAGATACCAGCAGACTATGAAGTTACCATTATATTATGAAGATACCGATAGACTATGAAGTTACCATTATATTATAAAGATACTAGCAGACTATGAAGTTACCTTCATAACCTAATCTAAGTCACCAGTAACTTCATGATATAATTATATCATGAAGTTGCTGGCAATTTATATATATATATAAAAATTTCAAAAATGTGGTTTAAAAAATTTTTTTATTATTTCTGTTGAAATTTTAAATCCTTTAAAATATTTATTTGCATATAAAGTTATCAACTATAATAATATATAATTTGTATAGTATTATAACTATTCTTTACTATGTATAAAAGATAATGTATATTAGAAATATTATTTTTAAAATTTTAATGAAACTACTCAAGAAAATAATAATGATTATTTTATTTACTTGAAAATTACTTATTGTTTTTTTCTTATATTTCAATTTCTCTTCTATTCAAAAATTTAACCATCATTTTTCTCTTATACTAATTGTACTTTTTTATTTGAATACATAATATCTATATATTTTTTTATAAATGTTTTTATTAGAAAATATTTTTCAAACTTTTGATACACAAGTTTAAGATACAATTTGCATGATATAATTAGATAATATTTATTATAACCAGAAAGTTAATCATTAAAATATTCTAATATATATAATAGATTAAGAAAATATTTATTTTATCTTTATATAATAAGAAAAAGGAATTTATTACTTAGTGATAACAGTTTAAAAGATATTAAAAGTTTATGATAGTTTATAATAACTCCTATTCTCATATTTGTATAAATCAAATTAGTATTTACAAATTTGTAAATAATGATCAACCTAATCTCATATTCCTTCTTCAATATTTAAAAATATAGTATTATTGTATCTTGTAATATATATAACTACAATTGGTCAATTATTAATATAATTATATTTTAAAGCTTACAAAAATATTTATTAGCATTTTTAAAATTTTTTCATCTAAATTTTATATCAATAATAAATATTTGTCTATTTATGTTATTAATATACTTTTCATAATTAAAAGCATCTAATATAATACCTATTAATTTATCAGATAATAATATTATACTTCTTTTTATAAGATTATATGTAGATTGTTATTAAAGATGAGGACGACTTTATCAGTTCTGTTCTAATTTTATGAGTCAAAGTAAGTTAAATCGATTGAACAGCTCTAGATAACTAGTTCTGAGTGGCACTCAGAATTGAAATGACTGAGTTGACTCTGATAAATTTAAACTAATTTAAATAAATTAAAATAAATTAACAATATAAAATTTAAAATTTAAAATTATATAAAATATATCAAGATCATTATTCAAATTATTGTTTAAGTAATTAATTAATATAAGATTAGTACAATTTTAATTATAGAATTGAATAAAGCATATTTAATTCAGGCTATTAATTATATCGCATTAGTGAAAATGTCATATTCTACAAAAAATAATGTATATTAGAAATGCTTGTGTTAATATAAAAATTTTTTATTTTAATATAATTGCCAAAAATTTTTATTTATTTATTATTATTATATTTCATTATAACTGCTTTACTAATTTACTAAATTTTTATCCATCTAACTCTTCACACACAAACAAGCTCTTGATATTTCTGGTAGTAAATGATTTTGATTTTTTGTAATCACATTTACTGCAATTGAAAATACTTGCTCTGACATGATACTTGTAGCTTATATTATTAGATAATCTCGAGCCATATTACTCAAAACTGAAAATTCATTTAAATAAACTTATCACTATAAGAGAGTTTCAGTTTTTTCATCAATTGGTAATTCAAGATAATGATTTAATTCTGTTTCTGTCTCTAATACTGGAGTAGAAATTTCATTTATAGGTGTTATATTTTGTCAAAATCATGTAAAATATTGACAATTCTTTTTAACAGAGGTAAATGGAACTAAATTTATAGATGAGTAAGATTGTTCTTTATAGAGTTCAAATATAGATTGAATTTGAGTATGAGCACTTGGTTTTGATTCTTCTGAAAAAACAGAAAATTTACTTCAGGTATCTAAAATTGCTAAGATTGTTGAAGAATTATTCATAATTAATCAATATTTTTTAATTTTACTAGATATTAAAGCTGCTACTTCACATGCTATAAAATTATTTTTATTTGCATATTTTTCTAGATGTGTCTGAATTCCTGTAAATATAAGATGAGTATCATCCATTATTAGATAAGATAATGCTGATAAATGTCTAGTAGCCCTTTCTAAAGGTTCAAGAAGTAACAACATATCCTATTAAAAAATAATTCATTAGAATAAAAATCTATAAATATAAAAGAATATTATTTTTTTTAGTTTAATTTACCTTAATTAAATTCCAATTATCATTATTAGAATAAAGATTATTAATAGAAGGATTATCAGCTACAAGTAATATTAAAACTGGTTCAAGTTCTTTAAATCTGTTTAACATATAATATGTTGAGTTCCAATGCATATTCACATCCAAAATTGGTTTAAGATATTTAATTTTTTTTAAACTACAAAAATCACGAAGTGAATCACAAAGACATGTAGAATTTTTAATATTACACATTATTTGATATACTTTTATAATAGAATTATTGACTATTTTTAATCCTTTTTTCACTCCTAAATTTAATACATGTACTGCACAATGATAATGTGAGAAATTCATTGAAGAAAATTTATTATCAAAAGCTGAGAAAATTTCTTTTTCACAAACTATCATTGCAGAATTATTGTCAGTTGTAAGTGTAATAATTTTTCTAGAAATATTGAATTCTTCTAAGATGCACATAATTTCTTATGCAATATTCACTCCAGAATATTTAATGGTAAATGGAATTATATCAAATAAAATATTATAAAGATTCCAATTAAAGTCAACATAGTAAATTGTAAGTCCTAAAAAGTTTTCTGATTTATTGTAGAAGTCCAAATATTAGCTGTTAATGAGAATTTTCCTGCAATTTGATGAAGTTTGTTGGTAATATTATTTTTTTGCATAGTAAAAGTATTAATTATCAAACTTATTTAAACAAAAGAAAGTTAGATGATATTATAATATAATAAAAAATTATGAAATTAATTTTACATTTTGCTTTATATTGATCAGGAATAATATAACACGAACAAAAAATTTAATAAAACTTTTAAAAGAAGTATTGTTAATAACAGTAAAAGACTAAAGATCACGTATAAGCTATTGAATAAGATATTTATCATATTTATTTTGTTCTTGCCTATTATAAGAAGTTGTAATATTATTTTTAATTTTTTGTATTTTTGTAGGTGCTTGAAATTGATGTGTTTGAAGATGTTTTCGTAAAGAAGATACACTTGTTGATATTTGATATTTTTTTGAACATATTTTACAAACATTATAACCAAATACATCAGCTGGATTCTTATTAAAATACAACCACATACTACTACTTTCTAATGAAATGTTTATCTCTGAATCTGAAGCTTGACTAGTCTCTGAAATATTACTAGTCGATTTATCAGGATTAATTTCGTCAAAGTTAATTATCCACTCATCTTCATTATCCTCAAGTTGGTTAGGATTGAATTTATCACTACTTAATGTCCTTTTAGAAGAGGCTTCTTCTTTTTATTCTTCCATTTTAACAAAAAGAAGCGTGAGAATTATTTAGATTTTTTTTGATGATTATCATTTTTAAAAAAAAATTGACATTACAAAATTATTATTTTAGCAATTGTCATTACAAAATTACTATTTTAAAAATAGCTGATACAAATATTATTGTTACAAAAATTGGTGCTACAAAATTACAGTTACAAAATTACCATTATTAATTAAAATTACTATGCCACAAAAATTACAAGTCGTAAATTTATTTTTTTATTTTTATCTTATTTATTTTTATTTTAAAATAATTAAATACTAATATTATAAATTTAAATAGAACTGACTCAAAAGAGTCAGTTCTCTTAAAACTGATTGTTCTACTTTAACTTCTCAGTTCAATTTAAGAGCAGAACTGACATTTAGTTTTAGAACTGACTTTGAGTCACTCCATTTAGAACTTTTTCCATTCCTAATTGTTATGATGCATGCATTTATATGATAAGGTAATCTAAATTAAATTTTTTAAAAATTAATGAATATTTGTAAAAAAATTAAGGATTTCATCTAGTTCACTATCAGTTAACAAATATTAAATTAGTTTACTACTTCTTTATAATATATAAATTTATGATATGATTCATCTTTTGTAATTGATATTAGATCTATCATGTGCATCTCATATGATATATCTAAAAAATACTCTAAACAAATAAAAATCTGTATTTAGTCAGAATATAAAGACTCATTTATATTGCTAGAATTAATTAATAGATAAATAGATAATATCAACTTATGCTTAAATTATGTTAGAAAATTATAATCTGAAATAGATACAAGTTTGTTTGATATCTGTATACTTTTAAAAATTCTTTTAATTGCAATAATACCTAAAGAATCTAATAATAATATATTAAAAACAAATAATTAGAAAAAAAATAATTGATTTAACCTTATCATCTTATAAAATTAGAATGACATTTTATGAAAAGGTTAAGATAAATAATTTATATTTTTTACTGATGTTAAAACAATAATGTTTATTTACTTATTTACTCATTTTGTTTCTTCTAATAGCTACTAGTCATATTTATATAGGATGATGATATTGATTAACTTTCATTATTTCTAAATGATAAGGTTAAATATAATTTTTCATTATAGACTTTAATATATAAATATAATAATCTTCTTCCATTTTTTTGCAAAAATGTTTAATTATACATACTTTAATTACTTCTTTGCATTATTTGTGATCTGTAACATTAAACTCAATGCTGTTATGTATATTTTTAAAAGGTTAAAATTATTATTAAATATGACAGATGACTTAAAGCATCATATGGGGTCTTTGCAATAGAAAGGGAGGAAACTCCAAAAAAATTAAAATTTTAGTTTATAAGCCAAAAATGTTCTAAATACTATAATTTGTTCAGATTTATTATTAACTCATTTTTTATTTTTTTTTGAGTTTCCTCCCTTTCTATTGCAAAGGCCTCATATATTTCTATATATTTCTCTTATCTAATTTTTGTCACTCCTTTTGAACTCAATTTTAAGTTGCTGCATTATCTTTTAGCCATTTATTTTTACTTTTTTTTAATGTTATAGCCTCTTTAAATTTTTTAATTTTTGATAAAAATTGTATATAAAATGCTGATGATATAGTTATTATATTTATACAATTCAATTTTTACTTAATTAATAATAACATCTGATTTTTTTGAGCTATTACATTAATTGAGAATTGAGTATTATTAAGAATATTAAAAGAATTAGATGATATTAAAGGTGATATTAAAAATTCAACTATAATCTTTTTTTGTAAAAAAAAAATTGAAAGAAGAAAGTTAAATAAGAATTTTTAATAGTTTAAAAATAAGACTATAAATATCATCTTATTTTTATTTTAGATTTCTTACTAATTATTTTTGTACTTATTTCTAAAGCTTTTTTTTGTTTAGTATAGTATTTTGATTTTTTACCATTTCAGAAAATATGAAGCAATCACATATTATTCATAAAGAATTTATGACTTTGAAATAAGAAAATTCTTAGAAAACTTTTATTCTTAAAAATAAATTTATTTCATTATAAGAAAAATAGAAAAATAAATATAGTTAAAATAAAATAAACAAAATTTTTTTTTTTTTGTAAAATTCAAAGTTCATAATTTTGAAAAAATACAGTATAGTTTTTTAAAAAAAAATGAACAGAAATTAAAAAATTAAAATAATAATTGAAATTTTTAACTAAAAAAAATTTGTTTATTAATAAAATTGACTTTAAAGCTAAATTTTAAAATTATTTAACTAAAGGTTATTTTAATAATATAATAAAAGAAATATTATATTTATTACTACAGATTTTAACATTTTATTTATTTAACTGCCTAATTAGTTGAAGTTACATTATAACAATTATATTTAAATCTAGAATATTTAAGTAATTTTATAATAATTATCATGAATATTTATATATTAATGCTAAAATTTTAGAATAATATTTCTTAATAAAAGTCTGAAATTTTTAAGATATATATTATTTATAAGTATATATAAAATGTTTAAAATAAAAATTTATATAATATCATCATACAATTAATCTCTCATACAATATGTCTAAAATATAATTTGTGTAATATCATCATGTAATGACCCTCTTCCTCTAATATGAAATGATGATTTTTTAATTGAATAATAATATATTATTTAAGAAAAATAATAATATATAATCTTAATTAAACAATAATACATTATTTTAATTGAATGATAATATATAATTTTAATTAAATAATAATGAATTGTTCAATTAAAATAATAATAAATCATTCTTTTTAAACAATAGGAATTGTTCTCTTAAATAATAATAAATCATTTAATTGAACAATAATATAGGAGGCGGTCAATAGAAAAGGAAAAAATTCACTTTTTAGTCAAAAATTTTTTTATTGATTCACTTTGCCAATCATGGTCATGTGAATAAAACTAGCTTAATAACTAAAATTACTTAAAATTTGTAGATTTTTTCCTTTTTTATTGACTGTCTCCCATATATCATTTTAATTAAATAATAATATATCATTTTAATTGAATAATAATAAATTATTTAATGAGAATAATTTATATTTGAATCTGAAATTAACCAATTTAATCTGAATCTAAATTTGAATCTGACAAATTTAATTAGATCTAAATTTGATTTATAAGATTCAGATTGAATTCAAATTGATTCAAATTTATATAAAATACTAATTTTAGCTGATTTTTAATATATGTCAATTGGATATTAATTGATTATAAATAAAATAGATTAAATTTTAGCTGATTTTTGATAAATATTAATTAATTATAAGTAAGTTTACTTATTTAAATTTATTTTAAATTTAGTAAAATATCTAAACTTTAATTTTGCTAAGATTTTAATATAATTTTGCATTTATATAAGCTTTAATATAATTTTATTTTTTTTAGATTTTTATAAATTTTTTAATATAATTTTATTTTTTTATTTAAATAATTTGTAAAACCTTTAAGTTTTATTTAGTAATCTTAACTATAAATATAATAATCAGCAATAAATAAGATAGATTAAATTTAACTGAATTCTTAATATATATCAATCAGTTAAATCAATTTATAAATCAGTTCAAGATATTTTATTATTAAGAATTAACTGATTTAAGACTTTCAATACCAGAATGTTCTTTGATTAAGATAAAATTAGATTAAGAATTAATAATCAACTTGATAAATTGCCTATAAAATATATAGAAAAACATTGATCTTTTTTTAGAATTTTATTTATTAAAATTAAATAAACTATATCTCAGCAACTAGTGATCCAATATTAATAATTATAACTCATTTACTTTATTTTTATAAAAAAAATCAAATAGTAACTATTTATCTCAAATGGATTAATATTAATAAAGATATTAAATTTTAAATTTTTTGGGTTAACTATTTTATCAAATCCAAAATAAATAATCTTAGCTATAAATTAAATTTTAATAAAATTATAAAAAATTAATAAAATTTTATTATAAAATATTTTTTGTAAATATAAAATAAATATTATAATATAATATATATAATATATAAAATATTAATTAATTTAAAAAAATATATTTTTTTAAAATTTATAAGTATAATTAATTAAATTATTTATAGTTTATAGAATATTATCATCTTATTTATATTTTAAAATTTAAATTTAAATTAGAAAAATTTATTAGTATATTATTTTATATTTTATTGATTAGTTTATTAGTATTAAAACTTTAAATTTGACCTAATAGGTTAGATGATCTGACAGGTTAACCTATTTATTCCTGTATTACTACTAAAAATTTTACTCTTATGTAATATTTGGTTGTTATTACAGTATTAACAAATTAACTATGTGATAAATAAAAGGTGACAAATATAATTTTGTATTATGAAAAAATTCTAAGTTTACAGAATACTTATAAAAATAGAAAACACAAAAAATGTGATATGGAATAATAAATATTTCTATGATCACGTGAAGGTAGAATTTTTAGTGATAATACTGAAAAAATGGTTAACCAAAAAAATTCAAAATTTAATATTTTTATTAATATTAATTCATTTAAGATAAATAGTTACTATTTGATTCTTTTTATAAAAATGAAGTAAATTAGCTATAATTTATTAATTTTAGATTACTAGTTACCAAAATGTAACTTGTTTAATTTACTATATAAAATTTTAAAATACATATTATAAATTAATATATAAATACAAAATATTACATATCTTTATCAATATTAATCTGTTTGAAATAAAATAACTACCATTCAATTTGTTATATTAAGATAATTTAATAAGCTATATTATATCATTTATCGATTACTATATATCAAAATATCTCAAAAAAACTATTTTATCAATTTTCTTGATATGATCTGTAACCTAATCCAATCTGATACTTCAGGTTAAATTAAATCAATTATCTAATCTGTTCTGATCCATTCAGAACTCTAATTAGTATTATATTAAACTAATATTTTTTGCTAACAACTAATATCAAATATAATAAAATATTACTTTATTATACTTTTCATTATTATAAGACTAATTTAAAGCATAATCTTATGTGACCTACATAATATACTTTTATTTGATATAAAATTATATCAGTTAAGATTCTTTATTGATTGGTAAAAATAGGTTATTTTCATTTAATATTTTGATTCTATAACTGATATAGCTACTCCTTTATCTAATAATATATATTTATAACATTAATTATATTTTATTATTTAATTAAAAATTGGATTAGATTATACTCTTATATAACAAATTAATTTTTTAATTATATATATAATCTAAATAAAGTAATTATATTAAAATTAATTAAAATAACTTTGCAATAGATATAAAACTAACAAAAAAATTTAATTATTTCTATGTAAAATATAATTATGATATATTTACTTTTATGTTACTACAAAATTTTAATTTTATTTGATCAGAAGTCAAAATTAGAACAAATTATATTAATCAATTTCTCTCAAATAAATGGGAGTTTATACTGTAATAACTCATTTGTAATAGTGATTAATGTTAATAACATTTGTTAAGAAATGCTGATCAAATGAACTAAGGATTATTAAAATCTACCGACTGGTGTCAAAACTGTTTGAAAACGTATCCTATCATTTTCTAATTAAATCATTAAAGCTAAGGTTTTCAGATATTCAAATATTTGTTTGCAAATAAAGTTTTCAATCTTTTATTTTTTATTTTTATTTTTTTATCCTCCTTCAGCCTTAAATAATCTTAGGATCGAACAGAATACCTTTGTTTTTAAAAAAAAAGAAAAAAAAAATGTAAGACCTTAGAAGAATTATCCAAAGTGATTTTCGGATTTTCGTGATTTTTCGATAATCAAATTAATTTGAAATCCAAAAAACGTGACGTAAAATTAGTTATCATATGATTTCGCAGTATTTAAAGTATTTAAGCGCAGTATGATTTTGGTTTTATGGTCACATGAAAATAATTAAATGAATTTCTGATTTTGAATGAACTATCACAATAACGAAATGATAGCAGTGTTATAATTCCGAAAGTCCGTACTCCATAACAAATTTAAAAAAGCCAACTACATATTCAAACTTAGTTGTTAAGTTGTCACGACATAAATAGAATAACTAACCAGCATTAATTTTGCACGTAACAGCTTAAAGGCACATATTTTTTGGTGATGTCTACAGCACTTCGAGCAAATTGGTCCTGCGAACGTTGCACCTTTATCAATGAAGTAGGTGATTTTAGAAGTTTCACGTAGATTTTAAAACTTTTATATCATTAAATTTAATATGACTCTTCTTGAAGGGAATTCACTTAACATGTGCGGCGTGCTTTCTCACTCGAACTGATGCCAAAGACTTACCCGTTCAGGTATTATTACGATCAACATTCTCCTTGACAGATATTATGGGTGCTTGTTGATAGAAAAGAAGAGTTCTAGAATTTAACCGAAAATTATTTTCATGGAAATTGGTTATGTAAAGTCATCTTAAAGAAAACAATTGTTGATAATGGTCAATTATTCTATTGAAAAGCGCCCATATGTTCAGTATTAATAATAAATGAATTGTCGATTTTTTTTTACTTTATAGTGGGAATGGAGAGCAAATCCAGATCAGTGGATTCCCTATGACTTGGCATCATCGTCCGAACTCGAAGATGCGTATCAACATAAGAAGGCTGCCATTTTTCCAAAGCAAGGGTATTTTGCTTCAATACCAGATCGATATGAAGTGCGATTCAATTATGCATTGGGACGTTTTCAACAGCATAATCTCTCAAGTGGTGGAATTCGTCGAATTAGAAGGGTCGCTAATGGTGCAACTTTAAACTAAAATTTTTCTCTTGTAATTCAATGAAATTTTTTTTAAAAAACCAAAATCTAATATTAATTTATTATTTTGTAATGAAAAGATGACAACTCAATTTTGCAACCTGTTGCATTTCATGAAGTGACATCTGAAGATAGTTGTATCATTTGTCTGGATGTTTTTCAAGATCCCAGTTCAGTCTCTGTTGAACAACAAATTGTTAAACTTCCTCCTTGTCACGGTCATTATTTTCATCGATCATGTGTTGCAGGTGAATTTCCTATATTTATGGTCGTGTCGTTTCATTTTATCTTAATTAAAATTTACCTTTATCCTTTAGCTGCAATTAAACTAAGAGATGAATGTCCAATGTGCAAGAAAAGACTTGATTATTAAAGTGTTTGATTTATTGATAGGTGATTTAAACTATAGAGAAAGGTAGTATCTAGCAAACAGCAAATTTTTTTATGCCATTTTGTCGATTTATATATATATTTTTTATATACACATATATACATATATATTAATATCTGTCAAAAAAAAAAAAAAAAAAAAAATGGAAAGATTAATTTCAGATGTCATTTTTAGCAGATTATTTATTGTACCTTTCTTTCTTTTTTTTTTTTGTTAAATAAATTTTTTTTTTTGATAAGGAAAAAAAAAAAAAAGGATCCAATTTGACTTCCTACATATAACTTTTTTTTAAAAATATTATATTTACATTTTTTTAAAAGGGGAAATTTCAAAATTCAAATATTTACAGAGCATTATATCTACTTAGTAAAGAATGCATTTATATTATAATGATGATTTATAATTAATTATTTCAAGAAATCTGCAAATCATCGTTATGATGATATTAAATAAATAAATATATATATAGATACAATGTATTATTTATGCTGCTGATGATGTAATGAAAGTATGCTTTTATTACATTGGTGATAAAAAGAATGTATAGTAATATCTATTTTAAAGTCAAAGTTGATGATATTCATCCTGTAAATGTAATTTCCGAAGTTTGCTATTCATTGAAATAAATCAATAAATCTTTCTTTGGCAACACTATTAATTAGTTAAAGAAATAACGAAAGGGATAATTAGTAAGCATCATTTAAGAAATAATTAGAAATTATACATAAATTCTTACCGTCTTGTTGCTTCCTGTAATGATTCAGTAGTGCTATTTTGACTCTTTTTCCCTCCTGCACCAAGACCGACTCTTCCCTCGTTGGTAATAAATTGGACTGGATCCAAAATTCCAGTACCATGTCGTCCTAAACCTTGTCCTTCCTTCCACCCCATCTTCTGTAGAAGTTTATTTCCCTTATTATCTGAACCGATTTTTGTTTGCAGATTCTTTGCTTCTTCCGCTGATACTTGAGCTATATCCTCCCAATCTTTCTTTACTGGTCCATTATCAGGATGAATTTCTCTTCTTAAAGCAGCCCTATCAACATATTTTTTTTGCTTTTGATTGATATTAGATGAACCCATATATTTACGTTTCAAACGATTCAGCTCCTCGCGCCGCTGAAATTCTAAAAATTCTTTTTGTGTTGTATTATTATTAATATTATTACCAATGTTTGTAATCAAATCACCTTCAAGATTTTTCTGTTTAGATTTATTCATGTTATTAGAAATGCCATCGTTCTTTTGAGATATGTCAATCACCTTTCCCTCCGTTACGGTGCAAATATCACATGTCCATTGTTTATGCAAATGCACTTGAAATTTGGTACTTCCAACGACAACTTCATCCATATGATTTAACTGATATGGCTTGGAACTCATCTTACTTTCCGATAATCGTTGAGAATTGACAAAAGTTCCATTTTGCGAACCTATATCAACAATAAAGAATGCATCAACAGAATTTGAAGTGGGAGATCCTCCTTCTTCATTATTGTTACTGCAAAAGATTTGGCAGTGATGTTTTGATGTTGGCATTTCAGCTAATCGAAGTCGTCGGTCATCCCATCTGTCCCTTCCCATGGAAATCCCATTTGCATCAACCAGAACCAAATGTCCCGCTTTAAGAATTCCGGATTCAATTACCACCAATCTAAGGGTTGCATCGCTACCAGGTTCTCCTTGTTCTATTGCAGCATCATCGGAAGTCGATGAATATACTAATGATGTTGGATCAATTGGCGTATAAGTTTGGGTACTTTCATCATATACTGAATAAACTCCAGAATGCACGTCAAACCAAACATTATTCTCAGGATTAAAATAATATCTCACTTCTACCGTTGCTTTATATCCAAGTGGTATAGGATATCTATGTGTTGCGTCCTTATGTTGATCTTGTCCATTGGTATCATTCTCATAAGAGGAAGAAGCTGTCCCGCATGCTTCAGAATCTGATAATTGACCTTCCTCGCGTGTACTTTCTGTTGAATTCTCAGATTCTTTATCAGAATTCGATGGATCTTCTTCATCTTTATTCGTTTCGTCAAATTTGCCGATCCCACCTTGATAGTTCTCTATTTTATTGTTAAAATACTTCCAATCTTGTATGTCTGCGTCCCAGAAAGCGTACATTTTTGTTGATTCACAATAATAATAACCAGTGCCTTCATCATACTTCCAATCTTCAGAACTACTTTCCCGATTTTTCAACTCTTCATACGCTTGCAGTGCATCTTCAAAAATGGATCTACCTTCCACAGATTTAGATTCCTGTTCAGCAAAATAAGAACAATTTTTATTTTTAGGACTTGCGCGAGGTCTTGTCAAGATTTTGTAATCATACGGAGCATCTTCCATAGTCGCCGACTCTTGATCGGGTTTGATAAGTAAAATTAGAACAAGTAATAAAAAAATGGTTTTTATTTAAAAACAATTCTCAAACGGTAAAAACGGTACGGTATAGACATGCCGATAATAGCGATAGATACCAATATGTAATTGATTTCCCGATATGGTGATGCATTACATACAGAACTTACGTGAAGCGAAAAAAAATATTCATTAATTAATAACTCTCTTTTTTAACAACCCCTCAGAATGGATGATTCCGAACTTCAAGCAATTCGACAAGCTAGGTTACGCGAGTTGCAAGCTCAACATACGTCTGTGAGTTTCAAATTTTTTTGAAAGATTTTAAAGTAAGCTAACTTAGATTTCATTCGTTCTGTTAACTCTTTTTTTTTTCATTCATTTAGGGTGGTGGCTCCAAACCGACGGAGGAAGACAGCGAGCAAAAACGGTAAAAATCCGCTTTGAGCTGATAAAATTTCTTATTCTAATTAAAATTACAGAAGGGTTCATTTTTGCTAAATATTTTAGCTGGAATATTTTACAGCCAAAAAGAAGAGACGAGGCAAGCAATGGTAACTATGACCTTTATTTACTTTTATATACGTTTTCCTTTAAAATATTTTTTTTTAAATGTTTTTAAATGAATATATCGGAATAGCTGACACAAATTCTGGAAAATCAAGCTCGTGAGCGACGTAAGTACATATGAGCAAGTGATTTAATAATTATAATATTTTAATTAACTTTATTTTCAAATTAAAGTCGCAAGGATCTCTATGGTAAAGGCCGATAAAGCGCGTGCAGTTGAGGATCTTTTAATTCGCATGGTTCAAGCAGGTCAATTACGTGGGAAAGTAAGCGAGTCTCAGTTAATTGAGTTATTGGAACAAATTAATCAACAGCAAAAACCTGAAACGAAAATTGTGGTATTTATTGTATATTTTATGTTAATTCTTTAAATGTCAATTTTCTTTTTTGGTAACTTTATTTAATTTTGCAAAAAAGTTTAACCGACGGAGATTTGATTATGAAGACGAAGATGACTATAACTTTTGAAATATTTAATAAAGTAGTAATTTACATTGTCGAAAATTTACACGTTTAACCAAATTGCTCATCGAGCAATCAAAAAATACTTTTCATTTATATAACTTAATTTCGCGAACCATAAAATAAGGAAGTTCCTTGGAACGCGTTTAAAGCTAGCTAATGCAATACATCAATGTTAATAATAAATATTATGTCTGGTAATATGCGTGATTTATGGTCATAATGAAGTTTAAAAGATTCCGATACAAAATAAAAATTTCAACGAAGAGTATGTGGAAATTTTTTTTTTTTTTTGATAAACTATTATTTTTTTTATCGTTATTTTTTTATAAAATTTTATTTGTTAAACTTATATGTGAAGGTGATTCATAAGACAAGCTTTCTTTTAGATATGTGATACATAATAATCAATAATACTATTTCTTATGTCAAGATCATAGCTCTATGATTTTCAAACCTAAACATATGTACGGAAATGCGAAAATTGTGATGGATAGCGCAAATATTATACATTAAATGATGTATAAGAAATGTTAAGTGCGGAAATTCACCAATCATGTGCACGCGGTACATGACCGCACTACCAAAATCATAAAATGCTTTATAGTCCAAAGAAATATTCTTAAGGTATATTAATATCTCTATATTATAATTTTTGCATCTAATCCTTCAATATTCTGAATGTTTTTATATCAACTACATATCTTTGTATGTAAGTTTATTATATAGATTCCCTTTTTTTTTTGCTTTTGTTGTTAAAATTTATAATAAGAGTAACAAAGCATCCTTTAACTGTTTTTTTTATTATCCTTTATATTTCCTGTTCATAATATTTAAAACCTCAAAAGAAGAATCAAATTTATTAATTAAGAATTTGATTATTTTTTGATACATTTTATTTTGCAATCATTTAATTTTTGTTTCATATGAAAGATAACTTAGTTAATATATTTGCTTATTTTTTCATTTTAAAATTAAAACATTAGTCTATCTTTTTTAAATGAATAAAATACAAACTTTGAATTAATTAAACTATATAAACTTTTACTTGTATTTTACAGATATATTTCATATATTATATACTTAATAAAACATCTAAGCATTTATTATAATTTCTCTTATTTTAAAATGAAATAAATATATAAATTATATTGTTAACAAAAGAAATTACAGTTTTTAATATCACATAAATTCTGCTAATCAATGATAATCTCATATTAAATGATCTCTAAATAGTGATCAATATTAATTTTCTGTTTCACCTCTTTCTTCTGTTTCTTTTATATTATTTGCATAGCCTATTTATTCTGTTTTTTTGTTTTATTTATAATTCTTTTAATATCTATAATTTGTTTTATTTCTTTTATTATCTTTATAATTTATTTTATTTTTATTATTTTTTTACATTTAAATATATTTTTCAAGTTATAAATAAGAAATCAATTTAAATCTACAAAAATTATTTTTTCTTTAATATTATTCCTTATATATAATTTAATTGTGATATTCTACAATAACTTACTTTAAATTTATTATTAAGTTTAGCTTAATAAATCTTAAATTCTAAGATGTATAAATTGTAGTATTAATTTAAGTATAATAAATATTTGTAAAACTTAAAAAAAATCTCAAATTATAAACTCTGATAAATAGAATTAGCTATCATAACTTATTAAAATAATCGAAATTGAAACTAATAATAATATTTTTATTTTTTAATTATTGAGTTTATATTTTTTTTTAATAATAAATTAAAAATTATGAAATTATATAATATTAAATTATTTCTAAAAAATTTATATATAAATAATCATTATCTATTATGATTGTTTTATATAATAATTTTTAGTTTTTTTTAGCTTTTTTATATTATATTTTCTTTAATTATCAAAGTTTTATTAATATTTTTATTAGTTACTTTATAGATACTTTATTATATAATTTTTAAAATTTAATTCTGATTAAATAATAATTTAAAAAATTATATTTTTATTATATATAATCTTTATAATTTATTTTTTTTCTTGTAAAATATTATTTTTTTTTATATTTATTTATAATTCATATTAAATATTTGAAATTTTATCTATTTAAAATATTTAAAATTATATGAAAATTAAGTAAAATTTAAAGAAATAATTAAGGATTGTAAAGTAAGTAAATCCTAATTAAGAAAATATAATATATAATTATATAAAATATATAATCAATATTTTTAGTTATTTGAATTTATATAAAAGGAAATTCAAAAGAAAGTAAAATAAAATTAATGAAAAATATGAAGAATAATTTAAAACTTCTTTTTGAAAAAAATCTGATAAATATTTAAAAATATATTCTATTTGATATTTACATTAAAATTTAATTTAATTTAAACTTTTATTTTTTTAGTTTCTCAAATAGAAAATAAAAGATAATCTAAATTAAAGTAATGTAAAGTTTTATTATTTAAGTTTTAATTATTTAAACTTATTTTAATCAAAATTTTATTATTACTTTACCAGAAAATTTAAATACTTCTCATTTTTTTCAATTCTTCTTTTTCATAAAAATCTATCACATTATTATTATTATCAAATATTAAATACTATTACAAATTATTCTATTTTTTTTAAATCTAATTATTATTATAACTATTATTATGCTTTATTTTTTTTAAACATAATTTTTAACTATTACTTTTGTTATCTTATTTCTTTTTCAATTTTCTCAATTTTTATATTTAGTTTTTTTTTTAGTTTTTTTTTTTTTTTTGATATTTTGCTAAAAAAAATATTTTACTAAATAAAACTTGTTATTTTTATATAATATTTAGAATCAATAGTTATCCTTTCAAACATATTTTAAAGAAATTTATCTGTAATTTTTTTAATAATTAAAATTATTTATAATATTTTTAAATATTTTTAAAATGACTTATTTAAAAATTAATATTTTTATAATAAATTTTATGATATTTTTTAAGTAAAAATTCAAAAAAATTGTAATTAATTAGTGATATTATAAAAATAAATAAATGATAAATTATTATAAAAAAATTAAAATTTTAAACTTATATATCTTATTATTTATTAATCTCAAAAATATAAAATATAATCATTTTAATAGGTCTTAATAAGATAAATTAACAAACTATATTTTATTTTTTATAATCTTTAGATAATAAATTATTTTAAAAAATTAAAAAAATTAAAAAATGATGTATATTAATAATTATTAATTTTAAACTTTAAAAATATTATCATTAAATATATCTTAATATAACAAATCTAATAAATTTTATTTTATCTTTTATGATCATTAGATATTAAAATATTATAATTTTTCTACAATATTTTATAATTAATTTTATACTTACACTTTAAAAAATAGGTTAATTTATATTTAACTAAAAGTAAGTATACTTTAATATTTATAAATTAATTTTATTCATAGTTTTATTTTTTTATTTTATTTATATATCATTATTATAATCAATAATAAAATTAATTAACATACAAAAATAAAAATATTTTATAAAGTTTTTATTTCATTGATTATAATTTTTCCAAATTTTTTTTAGATAAATAATAATAATAATTTTATTATTTAGATTTTTTTAAATAAATTATTAAATATAATTGAAACTGTGATTGAAAATTCAGTTAAATTATCAGTTGAATTGATGATCTAACTATATTGAATTATATGATAAAATTGATAATCATAATTAAAGTTACTAGATAAAACCTAGAGGTTTTATAAGTTATCTAAATAAAAAAAATAATATTTAGTAAAATTATATTAAAATTTTATTAAAAAATCTGCAAGATTCTGAAAAAGGTAAAATTATATCAAAGTTTATAAAATTATAAAATTATATCAAAACCTTAGTAAAAATTTAGCAAAATTAAAGTTTAAATTTTTTGTCAAATTTAAATACATTTAGATAAGTAACTTTAATTATAATTTTTAATTTTAAAAATAAATTAAATCAGTACAATTATATAATCAGATTAAAACTAGATTATTTTTAACCATTAATATCCCTATTAGCAATAATTTAAATAATAAAGTTTGTAAATAAATTATAAAAATTTTATTATATTGTTAACATTAAAAATTTATTTTAGAAAAATGATTTACAAAAGTTATTAGATTTAATTTCATATAAATTATATTAAGAAAGATCTTATATTACATCATTAAAATTAATTGACATATGGGAGGGTTTCTAGGAAAATCAGGTTCCGAGAAATTTTTCACTTAAATTAAGAGCTTAATACATTTTAATCTAATAACATCAAAAACTAAAATGCAATAAAAATCTCAATTTTGTTAAAAAATTCCCGAAACCTGATTTTCCTAGCAATCAACCCATATTGTATTATAAAACCAAAACTGATTTATCTGATTTGTAAGATTTGTAAAATTTATCTATTTTTTCTGTTTCTTCTGTATTTTCTATACAGCCTGTTTATTCTGTTTATTCTATTTTATCTGTAATTCTTTTAACATCTGTAATTTATTTTATTTTTTTTTATTATTTTATAGTTTATATTATTTTTAGTATTTTATTACATTTAAGTATATTTTTATTGAAATAGATATCTATATTTAGTTAATTTATAGTGTAATAATTAGTTAGCTATAATAAATTAATTTATATAAATAGAATAGCTTTTTGCTTAAATTATAAATTAACCCTTTTGTAAATTTTAAGTTATTAATAAAGAAATCAATTTAAATCTTCACAAATTATTTTTCTCTTAACATTGTCTCTTATCTAGAATTTGTTATAATACTCTATACTAACTTATTATTAAATTTATTATCACAAGTTGATTAAATAAATCTTAAATTCTAAGATATAATAAATTGTCAAATTGATTCAAATATAATAGATATCTATAAAATTTAGAAAAAATCCTAAAGTTAGAAACTTTAATATGTAAAATAAATTATTGAAGCCTTTCGACTTAGACATTAAAATAACTAAAATAAACTTAGTAATAATATATAGCAAATTAATCATATTTTCAAAGTTTAAAACTTTTTTATATAAAATATTATAAAGTATAATTATTAAAAATTAGTTGTATAATTAATCAACTGAGTTATTATCTGTATGATAATTAATTTTTATATAAACTATTTGTCTAATTAATTTTCTTATATAATCAATTTATATTACAATTATTTTTAAATATAAAATAAACTGTTATAACTTCTATAAAAAAGATCCTTATAATAAAATTTTTTCAATTAAAATTAACACTAGTAAAAATATTAATACTCTTAAAGCAGTTATCAATAATGATCTTAAAAGTGACATAGAGATAAAAAAAAATTTAAACTGTTTAAAGTTGATATTTTCTTAAAAAAAACTAAAGACAAAAAATTATTTCAATGCTTAAACTTGATAATCTTAATATTATTCTAGAAAAAAATAATAACTTATAAAAAAATTAGTAATTATTTAATATGCAACCAATCAATACAAATTTATATATTCTATATAATATCTTACTATTACTATTATTAAGTTAAAAATTAAGTCAATATAATTAGAGTTCTAGATGAGTCGAGTTAACTCACGAGTCAGATAAGTCGAATTGAATTTAAATCGAGTTGAGTTTATGTTTTTTTGACTCAATGATTTGTGAGTCAAGTTAAATTCAAGTTGAGTTAAATATTTAACTCAACTCAATTTAAACTCGACTTGATTCAAGTTGATTTGAACAATATTTTTTATTATTCAAGAAAAATGATGATGAATTATTCGACTTGAATGATTTTTTTTATCATTTAAGAAGAATGATGACAAATCGTTCAACTTGAATGATTTTTTTTATCGTTCAAGAAGAACAATAACAATATTTTTTTATCATTTGACTTGAAAGATAATGAATCATTTGCTCTTTTTTTCCTTCCTCTCTCCCGATCTTTTTGTTTTTTTTTTATTATTTTTTTTCAAAGTCGAATTGAGTTAAAATTGAGTTGAGTCAAATCAAATTGAGTTTAAAATTTATATAACTCGAATCAAATCAAATTGAAAGATTTTATAAAATAAATTTAACCTGACTTGACTTGAAAAAAGAGAGTCGAGTTGAGTTGATTTTTAAACTTGACTTGACTCGATTCATTTGGAACTCTAAACATAATATAGCTTAAATTTTTTTAAATTTTTTTTTATCTTCTTTATTATATTCTCTATAATACTAAATATTTATTTATTTTATACTTTTTTTCTTATTAATCTACTTAAAATACATATTTATATTATTATAAAATAATCTATTTTTAATAAGTAAATCATAATAAATTTAATTAATGTATCTTAGCTTAAATTTTAATAATTATATTTTATATCATTTTATTTTCAACTAATAAAATTCAATAAGAAAAAAAGCTTTAGAAGAAAGTAAAATAACTTTTTATTGTTTAGTCTTTTATTATCTAATTTTTAAAAATTTTGTTTAATTAATAAAGAAAACATAGAAAATCAATAATAAATAAATTAACTTTATCATTATTTTATAAATCTAATAATAAAAAGAAAATAATAACAAGAATAGAATTTACTTTTTGAAAAAATTAAAATATTCTTTCATAATATTATATGAAATACAAATATATAAAAAGTTTATTTACATAGTAAAAATAATATTAATATTAAAAAAGTAAATATATATATAATTAATAAATTCAATTTCTTATTTACTAGATAAATTCTCTATACAGTTTTTAACTTATCATTTTATTTATTCTTTTATATTATTTGAGTAATATAACTTTTGAACATATTATCAAATATGTCAAATTAAAATTCATTTTATATAAATATCTCTCTTTATAAATGTTCTAATAAATATTTAAAATTTTGTGTAGATATAAATTATATTAATATTTTTTAGTTACTTTAGTATAGTAAACTGAAAAATAATTAGAAAAGATTCTATAAATATATTATTTTTTTAATAAAATATACTTAATAGATAATAATAAAATCTCAAATAATACTAATATATTACATAATGTTTTGTATAAAATTTATATAAAAATATTTTTTAAACAAATAAATAGAGTTTACATAGATTAATTTAATTTTAAAATACTTATATGTAGAATTAATTAAATGAAAATAAAAGCTATAAATATATAGAATTAATTATTTTTTTATTGATAAGATAATTAAACATTAAATAAGTATAGAGGTTTAAAAAAATAAAGAATAGAGCAGAATTCAAAAAAATAAAATAAAATTAAAAAAAATAAAAAATAAAAAGAATTTAAAAAATTAAAATAGAAGTTAAAAAATAAAAAAATAAATAGTATGAAGTTTTATTTTTAACTTTTATTCTAATTTTTTGAATTTTACTTTATTTTTTTATTTTTAACTTTTGTTCTATTTTTTAAATTTTGGATTTTATTTTTTTATTTTTCAACTTCTATTCTAATTTTTAAATTTTATACTTTTAATATTAATTAATATTAATTATTTAAATTTACATTTATATATCTAAGTAAGTTCAATGATTTTATGATATAATATAATATAAATATTTATGTATTATAATCAAATTATGTGATAAAATTATTTTAAAAATTTTTATATTATGTGATATTATTTAGTGAATTTATAAAAATATTTGATTTTATGTATAATAAAAAATTTAAAATTTATTATAAAATTTATTATTTAATAAAAGTATTAATGTATTAAATATATACAGCCAGACTCCTATACAGTCATCTCCTATATAGTCACACCTCTTTATAAACACCTATTTTTATATAATAGAATTTAATATTATTAGATTACCTCTATACATTCACAAATCGGCTATAGTCACTATCATCTTACACTTATAATGTACATATTATTTTTGTTAATAATTAGACTCCTTTATAATCACAAATTTCTGATTGGCTTATATCAAAGAAATTTAATTGGTTGATCTCATAAAATGTAGCACAGAAAATTGTAACAAGTAAAAATGTAACGCACACTTAAAATGATAACGGTAAAATATAATAAAGCTTAGAAAATAGAACAATAATTTGTAACACTTGGGAAAATAGAACAATTTTCTTGAATTTTCATTTTCTGCGTTCGTTTTATGATGATAGTTTTTTCACATCAAATAATAGCTATGATATTATAAACTCTAAACAATTATTATAACTTTATCATTAAAAAGCTTCTTCAAAAACCCTCTTTTAAAGCAATTCTCAAATAATCTTTATTTTTTTTGTCTTCTTTGTTTAATTAGTTTTTTACAATATCTAATAGACTCAAATAGCATCGCTTAGTTATAAGTATTAACCTTAAACAATAAATTTGTAAATGAGCAAAAAAAAATAGTAATAAAACACATTCTGAAGTTACAGCTTATTTTACTAAAAAAAACCTAACTTTAAATATCGATTGCAGTACTGTAACAAAAATATTAGCCAAAAGTAAAAAGTGGACCTCTGTGTTAGAAATTGAAGGTTCTAAAAAAATTTTCAGATATAAAGGAGTCAAGTTTCCAGAACTTGATTGTGCTATGAATTTATGGGTAGAAAATTTTACAGCAAATGGGATCATTCTAACAGATTTATTAATAAAAGAAAAGGCAAGATTTTTTGTTAATACACTTAAATAAGAAAATGAGTGCGTGTTTTCTAATGGTTAGCTATATAAGTTTAAGAAATGTAATAATATTTATAAATATTGTATATACAGAGAGTCAGAAAATGCATCATTTGTATTACTTCTAGAAAAATGAGCAAAATTATAATTAATTTTAGGTCGATATACTCTTGATAGAATTTACAACATTGATGAAACAGTAAGTTTTTAAAAAAAGTTTATATTTTATTTATATTATTATTCTTCTAAAACTAATATAATTTACTTATTAAAAAGGGTCTTTTCTATCAAATGCCTCTTAGTCAAATTCTTTCTACTAAATCTATTTCTGATCAAAAAAGATAAGTCAAGAATCACTGTACTTCTTAGCGTTAATGCAACTAGAACAGATAAACTCAAACCATAGGTACTTAGTAATGCAAAATGTCTAAGATCACTTTTGAAGGTTAATTTAGGGTCTCTTCTAGTTTACTACCATAGAAATCTAAAAGTATGGATAAATTCTTTAGTTTTTGAAGAGGTGCTTCGTGAAATAGATAATTATTTTAGGATACAATACAAAAAGATTTTACTTTTGATTAATAATGCTCCATCACATTTCAATCTATATAGTTTATCAACTTTAGGAATTGAACAAGACAATCAAGATGAAGATAATAATGGTGAAATTAAATTTGCAGTTAGTGGTTCAAACGGTTATGATGGTCATGGTGATAGATCAAGAGGTTGTGATAGTTGTGGTGGTAGATTAAAAGGTCGTGATAGTCGTGATGGTAGATCAAGAGGTCATGGTAGTTGTGATGATAAATCAAGAGGTTATGATGGTCATGATAGTGAATCAAGATGTCGTGATGATCATGGTAGTAGATCAAGAGGTCGTGGTAGTCATAGTGGTGGATCAAATATTTTCTAGCAACTAACTCATATTGAGATTGTTTTTTTACCTCCAAATACTACAAGTCATTTTCAACCACTTGACACCAGAATTATTGCAAATTTCAAGAGTTATTTTAAAAGAAAATACTGTCATCATATACTAGATCTTTTTGAAGATAGAAAAGACATTAATAAGAAGAAAATTAGTATTAAAGAAGCAATAAATTATATTGCAAAAGCATGAGATTGTATAACTGAAGAAACAATTCAGAATTGTTGAAAAGAAATCAGAATTCTTCCTTTTTTGATTGATGAAGATATGGATGATGCGATACAAATTTAACAAGAAGAAGAAGCAGATATTAATCAAATAATTGAAGAACTTGATATGAATGATCCTTTTGCAGCTTTATTGGCAGATACATTGAATGATTTCTTTAATGACTTGGAGGGAATTCCAACTAAAGATATTTTGGATGAAAATGATATTATAAAACTTGTTAAAGAGGAAATGCATAATGGAAGTAATGAAAATAGTGATTCTGAAGAAGAACAAACGCCAGTATCTCTAAGCGATGCTTTTAAGTCTTTACAAACATAGATTACATTTTTTGAGCAACAGCAAATGGATGAATTTTGTGTAACAGGTATAAAGATCTTTAACAAATATTTTAAAATAGTCAAATGACTTGAACTACAATCTCGAAAGTAAGTTTTAATTACAGATTTTTTAGCGGTTAATTAATATATAATTTACATAGCATTTATTATAATATTACATAGCATTTAAATTTACATTTAATAAAAGTATTCTAAAAATTCACCATTGTTATATTTAATAAAATATTTTAAAAATTAACTATTATTGCATTTTTCAAGTATTTTAAAAACTAAGTAACAGGAATCATTATTAAATCCTAGAGTGTAATACAGATTTTTTATATAGTCACTGCACATGATTTTTAATATGATTGTGATTGTATAGATGTTACCCTTTTACAGTCATACCTCTATATAATTACTAGTTTTGAGAGAATCAATTAAGTGACTATATAGGAGTCTGACTATACTTTCTAATTTCTAAATCCTAATTTTCTATTTCTAAAATATTATTAATTATTAAAATATAACATATTTAATTTCTTTAGAGAATTATAAGATAAACTTTATCAATTATTAGAGTTTTGAATGAGTTAAGTTAATTTACAAGTCAGATAAGCTAAATCAAATTTAAATCAAGTTGAATTTATTTTTTTTTTAATTTGATAATTTACAAATTATGCTAAATTTAAGTCAAATTAATCCAAGTTGACTTGAAATTGATTCTTAATTTTTATTAATTTTTTTTTTTCTTTCTTTTCTCTTTGATCTTTTCTTATTATTTTTTTTATTATTATTATTTATTTTATTTTTTTTTATTATTTTTTGGATTTTTTTTGGATTTTAATTTTTTTTATTTATTTTTTTTTTTAATTCTTAATTTTTCCTTGATCTTTTTATTTTTATTTTATTTTTTTTAATTTAATTTTATTTATTTTTTCCTTTTCTATTCTCTCTCTTGATTTTTTCATTTTTATTTTTTTATTTTTTAATTTTTTAATTTTTTTCATTTTCATTTTCATTTTCATTTTTTTAATTTAATTTTATTTATTTTTTCCTTTTCTTTCCATTTTTCATTTTTGTTTTTAAAATTTTTAATTTTTTTTATTATTTTTTTAATTTTTTGTGTTGTTTTCATTTTTTAATTTAATTCATTTTATTTTCCCTTCTTTTTTCTTTCTCTCTTATTGAATTGAGTTTAAAATTTATATAACTTAAATCAAGTCAAGTTGAAAGATTTTATAAAATAAATTTGATTCAACTCAACTCAAAATATGAGTCAAATAGAGTTAATCTTTTAACTTAACTGAACTCAACTTATTCAAAACTTTACCAATTATTATCTAAAAGAAAATTATATAAAAAAACTTTGTTTAATTGCATAATTTGATATTAGTAGCCAAATATAATTCAAAACAATATTGAAAAGAATTGATAATTACCATTACTTTATTTAACTAATATTAATTCAATTTAAGTTTACCTAAATATTCATTATCTAAGCTACAATAAATTTCTTATTTTTGTAATAATGTATTTGATGGATTGGTAAATTCTTTAATTATATTGTCAAATATTTTTCATAAAGAATTTCAGTATAGATATATCTAGAATCAAAAACTTGATATACATAAAAAAGTAATTGAACTGGATGATAGAAATATGCACAACAAATTTGCTATAAGCTACTTCTAAATAATATAAAAATCATTTAGATTAAATTAAAACTGAATTATTAAATTTTTTAAAGTAGATCTAAAATTATTTAAATTCCTATGCATTTTGATATTAGTTGTGAAATATTAAAGTCAAAATTTAACAAGAGAAATAACAGGTTTTTTTGATTGCTAAAAAAATCAAAGTCTTAATTAAATAATTTCATTAGTATAAGAAGAAATAAAATTGAGATAAATAATAATAATTCTTAATTCTTGTTTATTTTATAGATAAGAATTAATAATTGCTAACATATTATATTTTATGTTATTATTAGTTTTTACTTTTAAAAAAAAACTAATAGATAATATAGTTTTTTATATAAATTACCAGCTGAAATCAAAAATTCTAATGGGTTGCATTACATAAAGGAATTTTGCATAGTGAAGAAATTTTATGCATTTTCAAATAAGTAATATATTTTCTTTAATTTTATTCAAAAATCTTTTAGAATATAAAATTAAGGTAATATTTTCTATGTATCCCTAAAATATTATATTTATAAGAAATATTATTAGTTAAAATAGAATTATTATAAAAAAATAAAATAATTTATGATAAAATGTGATATCATTAAAATAAAATTTAAAAAAAATATTTCTAATTTTATTTTCTTAAAAATAATGATGTTTTAAGAAAACTTTAATAAAAATCTATAATCTATTCAAAAAAAGATTTAATTTCTTTTAATATACACTATAAAATGTAAACTATAAAAATAATTAATTACAAATAAGTAACAACTTTTATACTGAATTATCACTTTTATCATCTTTACCACTCTGCCCATTTGTTTATAAAGTTTTTTTATATACTATTTCATAAAATATAAATTCATTCTACTTTACCTTAATATATAAAATAAGAAAGATTCTTACATAATTTTCAATTCCTCTTTATCTTAATATATATAATTATATATTGATAATAATAAATTAATTTCAAGAAATTTATCTGATAAGATTTATAATGTATGCATAATATAGCATATAGATTAACTGAGACATTAATAGCAATAAGATTTTATGATAACATTTTTTATATAGACAGCTAAATCTAAAAGAAATAAGCATAAAAAATTAAAAAATATATTAAATTGAGTAAAAATTATTATGAGAATTTATTTATTGTGGTATTTTTCATTTACTCAAGAAAATTGATTGAAACTAATTTTGTTTCTTCACAATAATAAAAAAGGATATTAATAACGCTTTGCATACAATTATTAATAATTTTATTTATAATTATAGTCACTAGTTTTGAATCAAAAAATAACTTAAATATTGGTAATAATTTTTATAAATATTAGGTAGGTAAATTTACCTAAGAATGAAAGCTTAAGGAAGAGAGCTTTCATTTTAATATGTTTTTTAAAAAATAAAAGTAAATAATTGATCTTTTTAAGAAGAATAATTACTTGCAAATATTTTTATAAGATCTTCAATAAGTTGTTTTGTTGACTAAGCAGCTATTTGAGTAGAGAAAAAGGTAAGTTTCTGTATTTTGTTCTAGTTTTTTTTATGATTTCTTATATTTGATATATGTTTTTAACTCTTGTAGTAATTATTTATAACAGATTTATACTTCTATTATACAAAAATATTATAGTAATTACAAAAAAATTATTATTATTAATGCGAAAAATATCTTTATATTCATTATATCTAATATGAATTGAAATAATTTATCTCTTTTTTAGTAGTATTACACTAGTCGAAATAGTCCAAATCGGCTAAAAATCGAATGGCCAATTTAGGCCGATTTTGATATTATTTATGTCCGATTTGCCATATTTTCTGATCAGCACAAACAGGTACCGATAGACGCTGATCGACCCTAATCGGACATGGCCATTTGGAACTTAAATTCAACCATAAATCAGCCTAAAACTGGTCTCAATTCGGCAACAATTCAGACACTGATAGAAACTGATCGATCCCAATCAGACATGGCTATTCAGAACTTAAATAACCATAAATCAGCCTAAAATTGGCCTCAATTCGGCAACAATTCAGACGCCGATAGACTCCAATTGGACAAGCAATTCAACTATAAATCAGCCAAAATTAGCCTCAATTCAGAATCAATTCGGCAACAATTCAGATATCGATCGATGCCAATCGACTCCAATCAGACAAGCAATTCAGCATCAATAATTAGTACATTTTATTTATTAAATTTA